TCAGGACGAAGGGCTTGTGTTGGAGAAGGACTGGCCAAAATGGAGCTGTTCCTCTTCTTTGCTGGCTTGCTCCGCAAATTTGTTTTCCAACCCCCTCCAGGAGTGGATAAGTCAGACCTGGATCTCACTGCTGATGTCGGCTTCACCTTGAACCCCATGCCTCACCTGGTTTGTGCTGTGCCCTATGAATGATCAAACAACATGGAGTTAGAGTAGTGAGCACTTCAAGCTTGAAAGCAAGTCTAGTTAAGGGGAAAAAAGCTGTCTGTATCTGAGCTTTAGGGGAAGGAAGACACCAGGCACTGTTGTTTTTCTTTCATTCATGCCATTCGTTCCAACAGCTTTTGTAGTGTCTGTCTAATGCAGATCCTTCAGACACCCCTGAGTACTGCTCTCAGAAACTATGATTCATTCCTGGAACAGCACATCAGAGATGCAGGTTTCAGGGCTGTTTGAAAGAAATGGCTTCAAGCCTCCTCTACAGATGTAACCCATCAGAGGCTCTCCCCTATGAGCCTCCATGGGGAATTTCTCAGCCCAAAGTCTAAGCTCTATAGCAGAGCTGATTTTCGATGGCCCAGCTGGAGACAACAGACACTAAATGGATCTAGAAATCTCCCTAGTATGGTTGTTCAGCTGAGCCACAGACTGAGTTTCCATTGTGCGATACAACCCGCCTTATCTTTATTACAGAGTCCCAGACAGGAGGGTGTAACATGGGCTGCTGCCAAGAGCCAGGCACGGGACAGTTATCAGAAAACATCTAAGTGGTTTGGGAAGTGGGTTCATTCCAACTCACACTAGGCACTTTATGCTGAAGAGCCTATTTATGATGGGGCCAATCTAGCAGCTTTCTGCTTCTGCTGAGAAAGGCATTTCTACCACTCCCTCACCTCTCCTGGCTTCATGCTGGCTCTGGCACTTGTCCAATCCCTTACTGGGCCATCTTAGACCCCTAAACTGGCAGAAAATGACTGGCCATGGAAAGTGAAGAGTTTCTGAATCAACATGGCTAAAGCTGGACACAAGGCCAAGGCAGTGTGAGGGTGATGCAGCCTGGGGCTGGGCAGCAGGACTTGCCACGCTCCCATCAGAATGCTGAGAGAGTCTCAGTCCTCTTCTTCACTTGCACCTTAGGAGCTGTAGTTGCTCTCTAGACCCTCTCTACCCTCCAGAGAGAGAGAGAGGGAGGATCCTTCAGTGGATGATTCAACTGCCATAAGGTCTCAATTGCTCATTCTCTCTATTGACTGCAGGGTGAATCGTCATCCACAGGCTCCTAATTCAAACTTCAGCCTCATATATCAGGTGTGTTAGGAGGAATAGGGACAATATTTAACATTTGAATGAAAATACAGTTTCAAATCTTTAGAAAATGCTGCTGTCTGTCTTCAGCTCTACACTAGGTACACTGAGGCTGCGTATGTGGTGTAGAGCTGCAGACAGACAGTAACTTCAAGCTGTCTTCCTCTTCAGACATTCCTTGTGTCAGGGATAGGCAGCAAGGTCTCCAGGCAGAGTATCAGATCAGCTTGCACTGCTGAGCAAACACCACTGCAATAGGCTCCCACGGAAGTTACATATGCTCAGCACATAGCAGGAACAGGGCCATCGCAGTAAGAACTGCAAGTGAGATTTTGGTCCTTCCAAGAAGTGCTTTGGCTATTCATGTGGGAACTGAAATTACAAATTCAGAGCTGGTAATGCTCACGTTCTGCCAGTGAAGATCCTGCATCACCGTCAAGGCTAGTAGGATTTTGAACATAGTCACTGTGAAAACAGATGTGAAACTGGTAATAGAGACTGGAAAGAGACACAGTTAGGCTTTGTAACCAAGTCATTCAGCTATACCATTAACTTGTCGTATGAGGTCTCTGTAGAAAGCTGGCGACACCCCAGAGACTGTGGCTGTCCTAAAGCAGCTGTTTGATTACTACAATTACTGATTTATTTCATGTAGCAGCCACTTGGAATATGAACACCTACCTGTACCCACAAGACTACACCAGCTGAGGGAAGCATGATACGTGTGTGAAATCTGATTAGTGGTGCAGGTACAAGAGAGGAGGCTGCTTCGTGTGATGTGAAACAGGGAGGAAACCACAGGTGGGTTAGGGAGCAGTGAGTCACTGAGGATGCTTTTGTGTTGGTTGAGGCAGGAAAGGCAGGCTGGGATGAAAAGAAAAAAGGGAGAAACAGAAAGTTAGAGACTGAGGGGGAAGGTATGGTTAAAAAATATCACAAAACTGTATCTGCTGTAACCTAAGGCTGATCTATGGTGCAAATGGAAGGAAAGAAAGGAGGAAGAGAATATGAAGAGATGACAAAGTGCAGCAGTCTTTGGCCAAGACACAGACTCTTCACACTAGCTTTAGTTCATGCAGCTAAAGGCAGCACTCTAATAGTTGCACTGTACCTTGTACTTGTACTGGTATTGCACTTGTATGTGCACTGTACCTACCATAGCACTAGCCCCAGCTTCTGGTCACATCTCAAGGAGTCTGCTACTCTTGCTTATGTTTGTTTTGCTGTTGCTCTATTTGCAGTGTAATTACTGCAAGCCTGATCTTATCTCCTACTTAATAAATAAATATTTTGCTCTGTTGCTGTTGATCCATTTGTTGTTGTAGGATGAACTTGATTTGGGGTCAAACTGATAAAGTTGGGCTGCACTTACCTTTACTACACCCACTCTAGACAGGGATCCCTGGCAATATGCAGCCAGGACACGTTTAGCAATGCAAAGAGTGAGCAACACTCATAGCCACAAACAGCTCAAAGGAAATAATAGAATGTCCAACCTCAGAAAATCACAACTGCTGTCAGAGACAGGACGTGGCTCTGGATTGGTCTCTGCTCCAGCCTCTTACAGTGATTCCTATGGCTTCTGCCCTTGCTTAGAAGGAACTCGTCATGGTAACAGCCAGCAAGGAGTTATCTGAGGCTGCAGTCCTGGATGCATTGCTAGTCAAGAATGGGACTGACAGGGAAGATGCAGAGATTTGGGGAGATTTAAGTTAATTTAAAGGATGCAGAGCTAGTGCTTTACTGGTTGGCTCTCCCCAGGCTGGCTAACTGGCAGCACAGTTTGGTGGATGATGTCCATGCTCCATGTCCTCACCACCACTGGCTTCACATGCCGTGGCAGGGGATTGCCATGTGGGCACAAGGGATGAAGAACAACCTGGATAACCGGGCTGCAAGCACCCCGAGGGGCCTGGCTGCCCCAGGAATGCACCCGGAGCAGTGTCAGCTCCTGGCAGGTGTTTTGTGCTCAGCTCTGTGTGCTCAGGCAGGGGAGCACGTAGCAGCATGGCTCCGGAGTGAAACACATACCAGACCCATTATTGAGACAGGAATTTCTTGTCATTTCAAGAGCTTTACCTACCTTTGTCATTTTAATGCATTGCACTCAGAGCCCAGTTTAAAAAAACCCAATACACTCCCCCCTGGCTTTTCAGAGATAATTTAAATCTCTTTCTGAAAGGCCTTTTTATGATTTCAGCGGCTCCCAGGGCAAGGATGAAATACCAGGAGAGCAGCACGTAACTTCTGCACTGCAGGGTGCTGCCAGTCAAACAAAACCCTGCAGGAACAAACATTTTGCACAGGGCACAAAGCATAATATCCCATCACAAGTTCTCATCACAGTGCCCACGATCTGCATCATGTGCCAGCCCTGATTCTTCTTGCCTGTCTTTACAGCCAGCCCCTCTGCTTCCCCACTCACTAGAGCAGGCAGGTTGAGTCATCCTTGGCATGCTCTGGGGGAAACCGTTGCCTCCAGCCCATTTCTTGGAAACTAATAAAAAAAAAAATCCCAGAAATGTTGCAACACATGAGCTGCTTCTGCTTCTGGGTGTCTCTTGTGCTGTAACGTCTCCACACCGCGCAGGCAGCTCCAGTTTGCTCTGGGACCATGCTAAACATGCTAACCAATCACTTCAGACTATGTCCACTTCCCTCCCTAACTTCTTTGCACTTGCAAAGCTGAAGACCCGTATTTGCTGAATAATAGCCTTTATATGATCTAACCTTTGGACAAATGTACCTTTGGCCTTGTACTTCCTGATCATGTAAGATAGCTCTTTCTTCCCTGAACAATCTTATTCTATTGGCTGTTTATTCCCAATATCCTCCTGAAAACCACTATTCAGCTACGTAGAACTCAATTCTTTCTGTACGAGATTTAAACCTTTATGAGGGATGCAAGCTCCAGGTGTTTAGTATCTTTGACTTAAAATCATTCCCTCCTCCTGTCTTCTCCCTCTTCTGAAGCCTGACTGGTCATCTAGCTTCATGAACTTCATCAAATTCTTCCCTCTATCTCTTAGAAGCTGCTCTTGCAAAAGGAAAAATCTTCCCAGAAGTTTCAAATCTAATTTTGTCTTTCCATTCCAGTCATGAATCCACTCATGATCACTTGATCCAAGCTAATTTTCCACGGCTAGCTATTACATGTCCTCTCCTTCAGACACAAAGTCTGAAATCACATCCCTTCTGGGCAGTTCAGAGCTGATGTTATGAAGAACCCTCAGGGATACATGGGCTTTACCATCATTAACAATCTTTCATCTCCACTTGACACCAAGAAAGCTCAAGTCTCCCATAACAATACTATTTTTCTCTCTAGAAACATGGAGATCTCAAACCCTACCCAAATCTAAACCTGGAGGTTTCTAATAGGATTCAAGGAAACCTTTTTATTTCTTGGTGTCAGTGGAGTGTTTGGAGGGTGACAGTGCTCCTAATGAAGGACCCTCAGGTCTCAGGGGAGGAGGAGGTTATAGAGGAATGCCAAGCACCTTTTCCCATGTATATGTTCTTGCACACACATGCATGGGTTTGTAATTTGAAACTCTCTTTACTTCTGGACAGGCTTTGCAAACTGCTTAGACCACATTCTCTGAGGTGTTTAAAGAGGGTGGAGTATGCAGTATTTATTTAGGTACTCTACAAACCTTAATAAGAATCGAGTGCTTGTAGCGATTGCAGAGAGCAAACAGAAAGCCAGCTGGCAGAAACTGAACAGTGCCACTGCATTTTTATTGCTTCTAGCGCCCCAAAACGAGATTATTGCTAAAAAAAATATGTCTTTTTTAATTTCATTTATCTCTGATCCTACATTAATTTGTCTGCTGTGTGCAACAGTATTATTAGCTGTAGTCTATTTTTCAACTGGCTATAAACATTCAGCTTTTAAATTTCCTCCTGGTCCAACTCCTCTTCCGAAAAAAACACTTGGTGGATATTAGAAGGCAAGATAAATCACTAATGAAGGTAGGACAATAACCCCCAAACCCAGACCCTTATAGATTTTTAAAGCTGCCTGGGATGTATCAGTGAGAAGTTTCTGTCTTTTTAAATTCAAACTAAAGTGTAAAGGTATGAAAACTGCTTTATAACACTTTTCTAGGCTTCTTCTAGCCAGCGTCTGCGTTGATGCAAGGTCATTTATGAGCGATCAACCATTAAAAAAAGACCTTTGGGGAATAGGGGATTTCTTCATGTAATTGTGATGATGTACACGAAGTATATAATGCTTGTGGGATTTGAAATATTAATTTGACAGCTTGGACACCCAGAAATCTTTTAAAGCATTAGGACATAACTAACATTAAATGAAATCGTTTCCCTCCTCTCTGCCCTGGAGAACTGGCAAGCGGAATTCAACAATGCGGTGACCCCAAAACTGCTCCGGAGAGGGCCAAATCCAGATGCCCCATGCAAAATCCACTTCCCTCATGGTGAATTGGATATGCATTTAAATCTGGATGTCAGTACAAGAAGAGGGATGGAAAAGCTGCGCTGAGGAAGAGAATGAATAGCCTATAAGCTTTTCTACTAACCCGTAATTAAGACAACTCACCCAGCTCATGGTGGTAAGCGGTTCTCCTGTGCAAGATGAGGCTGGAACAGCCCAGGGTGCTGTTGAGGGCTCTCCCTTTGCTCCAGCAGACAGCACCCACAGGGATCAACCTGCACTGGGGTCAGGGAGAGAGTGAGCAAACAGAGCGGCGGTTCATGATGAGGTGTCAACATGGCTCCTGTAACACCGGTGCTCAGCAAACACTGGTGCTTCTACAGGAGCAGCCGGGTGGTGGGAGAGCTCTGCCGCAGGGTGAGGCTCCCAGCACCTGGTGCTGTTATGGGCAATGTCAGGGCTGGGGTCAGTTTACCCAGCAGGGCTCAGCAGACGTTGCCGCAGCCTCTGAACGGCGGTTTGGAATTACCTCCGCATGCTTTCATCACCTGCTAGGCTCTATTTGGTATTGCCTATGTTTGCATTTACTTTGGGATTACTCCAGAGGGGTTATCCCTCCATCTCACCCCACAGAGAGCAAAAAATGGTGACTGCATCGAGCAGTAGCCACCAGGGTTTGTTGGCTGGGCATCCTGGGGTGCTTCCCTCATCCCTGTGGAAGCTGCCGGAGAGCCCGGCTCGGGCTGAGGCTGCACGTGTACACCGGGTGTTTCCTGTGGCTTCCCATCACCTTGCTCCAGACCAGCCCAATCTCTTTTCAGCTGTCCCTGAGTGCTTTTCAAGCTGCCAGGGAGCAGGCACACACAACAGTCCTTGTGGAGCTTGGATTCCCCCATCAGCCTGCCTCTCTCTGCTGCAGACCCCTTTCCTGGGCTTAGAGAAGTGGTGATCAGTGCATAGCACAGCGGCTCCAGGGGCACATGTAGGACATGCCAGCGGGACTGCGTGCTCCTGGAGGCATTCTCAGTTCCCTGAGGCACTGCGTTGCCCTTGAAAACCAGCCAGCAAGGCACAGCTTTGGTGAGGAGCTGTGAAGAATTTGTCTTGGGGTGTGTGGCAGTGAAAGAACCTCTCTGTGTTATGGCAAAGATACACCCAGAGCCTTCTCAGTGCATGATGAGCATCATTTTGCATACAGGCACGGGGACAGCAGCAGTTCGGGCAGCCTCCTGCTCCTGTTGTGGGTTTCCCTGCTATGCCCAGCAGAGCTGTAGGTACCAAAGTCACGTCCGAGCAGAGGGGCATGGATTTGGAATTTGTGGTCAGCCAGGGCTAACTAAACACCTGGGATGGGGCAAACGGTTCCTCTGGTCTAGAGGCAGGGATGCAGGAGTGCTTTGGTACGAGAGGAGCATCATACCAAAGCTTTCCTGTGCAACAGCATCGTTGTTTGCACTGAAATATCTTTCTGTTTTTGTCTTTCTCTGGTTTGCCAACTTGTGTTGACATTTGAGGTCCAGTCTTTAACTCTAGGTGGGTTTCTTTTTGGTTTTCATTTATTTTCTCCTTAACAGCAAAACCAGATTAATAATGCATTGATGGGGGTGGGGGTTCATTGATGGCAAGAAGCCTAAAATCTACATGGATGCTGGCCAGGTATCCATACAAAATGCATCGGGTTTGACTGTGATGAGCTTTAGCTCACCAGCACCGTTCCACAGGTGGTGGCTCCACAGCCGTTCCCAGCAGGATGCCAGGATGTAATATGTCCCTTCAGAAAGCAGCCGGTGCTTGCCCCATGCAGGCTCCTTTCCTTCCTGACCATCACAGCTCGCCTCTTTTTCAGCTTGCAGAAAAATACGGCCCCATCTTCACCCTCCACTTCGGGTTCCAGAAAGTTGTGGTCCTGACTGGGTATGAAGTTGTGCGGGAGGCGCTTGTGAACTACACAGAGGAGTTTGTAGACAGACCATCCATCCCAATATTTGACCAAATTCAGAACGGAAACGGTACTAGAGCAATGAGTGGGGGTGGGTGGGAGGGATGACACTGTCGCTTAGTGCCAGCATAACCATGCATCCCAGGAGCCTGGCTTTTAAACATCCCCCTTGGGCCCTTCTGAAGCCAAGCTAAGTTAAAACATTTGGCTTTCCTCGTTTCCATGCAATGCCTCCTGGCTTTTCACCATTTTTGCTAATCCATGTCCTCGTCATTCGAGGGTGAGGAGTGGGAATTTTAAAGGTACTGTGGTAATCCTGGGATTAATTTCCATAAGATGCCAATGAGAGTGGAATTTACAAACCTTCCCCATGGTTTCAGGGGGCTTCAGACTGACTGCTTTGGCTGTTTGGAGCTGTAGGGCTTTTTCCTTCCTCCCACTGCCAGGTGTCACAACTTTGGACATCATGCCTGTGTCTTACCTCCCTATAAAGGCTTTTAGGTGGACCAACATGAAACAGGCTCAGGCAGAAGCAATAGGCTGAGGGTGGAAATTCACCCCTACAAACAACCCCAGAGTTTTTCCAGGGCAACTCCCCATCCCTGAGTATTTCAGAGGACTTTTTGCCTTGATTTTCCATCCTCTGCTTCAGCTGTGGCTCTAGCTTTGAGCATCCAAATGGCAGCTTTAAATGCTGGTCACAGGCTGAAGTTGGGATTACAATTAGAAATTAAATTACCCAGCCATAATGTCAATAGATTAATCTATCGCTACATAAAGAAAGGAATCGATGGGGAGAAAAGCATTTTTCAGAGCTGATTTACATGAAAAATATCCTTGGGGGAGACAGGCAATATTGCACTATAAGTCCTTTCACACTTACCTTCTCAGGTCAGATCTGAGCCACTAAGAGGTGGAAATTCACAGAGGCGAAGTAACAATGGTCACAAGTTTTCCCCGGAAACATTTCTTCTTCAGAAAATGCCAATTTCTTGACTCTGAAGCTGCAGAAAAGGAATGATCCAGATGAAATTGCATCAATTAAAGAAAAAATTAAAATCAAATTTGCTTTGGCATTTTTAAAGCAAGAAGTTTCACTTTCCAACTGAAAACTACACTGCTTTAAAACAGTGTTTATCCTAGAGAAAGCAAACGCATTTAAAAACCTTGCAGCCAAGATGAAGATGTGAAGTGCTGTAATCCAGCTTTTTGATTGACACAATCTGAGATAGTTTTTGGATTATATTAACATAAGTTTTTCTTATACTATTTCCAACACTCTGATGGGATGAAATACCCATCCCTGTTTGGTGGTGTTAGCAATCATCAAGGCATGAACTCAGAAACCTCCACAAATGATAGTAATATTGTCACTGCTGAAAATACAGTGCTACTGAGGATCTCAATAGAACAGTTCAGCACTGACCAGGGTTGAGGAGATTGAATTATCCCATCCCACATAGATAAAATACCTTTATGACTGGAATAGGACAAAGGGGAAGCATCAAAGATACAAGATTGTTGCTTGAGACCTGAGACTTGCAGCCAAACAGGGTCAGAAAAGTTACAGGACTGACTTAGACCTACATCTCTCCCCAGCTCCACAGCCAACCCATATTGGTCTGAAAGCCATACCTGCTTTATCTTGCACTCATGAGAGGGATGGGGCAAGCTGGTTTGGGTGGGAGCTTGTTTTTCCCAAACTACAGACTCAGTGAGACTGGGAGAATGGAGCTGAGAGGATACAGGGATGGGGAACACAGAAATGGGAGACTCTTAGTCCCTAAATCCATGGGAAACTGGGCAGCAGAAATACTCGTGGAGATCCCTCCTCATCCAGTCCCCTGCTTTGCTTCATGTGGTGAGGCTCCTCTGTGTGTGAGCCCAGCGCAATGTCTCATGGCCTCCCCAGGTTTGTTCTTCTCTATTGGGGAGCTGTGGAGAACAACTCGGAGGTTCACCGTATCCAGCATGCGCAACCTCGGCATGGGGAAGAAAACGATAGAAGGGAGAATTTTTGAGGAACTTCACTTCCTTATTGAGATGATCAAATCCTTCAAAGGTGAGCTGGAGACCATCCCAGTGCTGTACAGCCTCACACATGTCCCTGCTGCTGCAACATCTCACTAACATTTGAATCCTCTTCTCATTGCAGGGGAGCCTTTTAGCCTGACATCCTTCAACTGTGCTCCAATCAACATCACCTTTGTCATGCTGTTTGGTGAGAGGTTTGAATATAAGGACCCAACATTTATCACTCTCTTAAGACTCATAGATGAAGTTATGATTCTTCTGGGATCTCCATATTTGAACGTAAGCAACCCGTCCCACAGAATAACATTCATTTTGAGCAACACAAACCGTAGGCTTTAGTTCAGCAGTTTTCAAATGTTCAGAACCATTATACCTAAAATGTACCACCTTAGTCACCACAAATGTGTTGCCAGATTACCCTTTGCTACTCTGCTTTTGAACCATCCTGCACATCTGCACGGAGCTAAAATGAGAACTGAACTATGGTTATTTTAGCCTTTTTTGCCTTTTCAATATAATTGCGTCATCTAGGCTTTGCCTTTTTTGTGTTTTCTACAAAGACACATTCAAGGTTGATGTCTACATGAGTGACATTTCACAAACTGCATGAATATGCTTCCTTGGAGAGTGCCAGGAAAACTGCTTATCTTCAAACTATCATACCCAGTCCTTCATAACTGATATTGGGAAAAAATAACTAGTCTCATACTGATCTAAACTGTTTGGTGGCCTGGCACACTGAAGTCCCAACTCTGCTGAGAGGCTGACCTGGTACAGGTCAACCTGGTACCAGCAATATACCTGTTGCTGGTACAGGATCTATTCCCGCAGGTCAGCATAAATGCTTAAAATTAGATAGTACTAAATAAAGGCTCAAAGGTTGCAAAGCCCTCCCTTAGGAAAATCTGCTTGGGAAGTCCCTGGGATGCTAAGATACTACTCCATGACAAAACTCAACTGATATGTCATGCCTTAGGAAGAAGCTGTTTCAGCATGCCGACATTTCTGCAGACTTAATGCTTCTCTTTTTTAATTCCTCATTAGTATTTCAATTTCTACCCATTCCTGGGATTTCTTTTCAAAACCCACAAGATTATGCTTAAGAAAATAGAAGATGTGCGTGCCATTTTAAGGCAATACATGAAGGCGAGCAGGGAGGATATCAATGAGAACAGCGTGAGGAGCTACATTGATGCACTGATATTCAAGCAACAAGAGGTATTTGCTTAGCTCTACTGACTGCAAAGTCTCCTTTGGATTTTCTGGCTAAAACAGTTGCTGAATCTTGATTTCAGTCATGTCATGTAAACTTACTGAAATCCATGCTGTTACTCGAGTGGCACTGAAATCAAATGTCAGTCTCTTACAGTTGCTATAATTTACTGCAGGTATTTTTCTATCAAAATTACGATATGAAAGCTACTGTCTCAGTCCACTCCTGAAAGAGCAGCACTAATAATATGAGATCAACTCCTTTTTCCTAGTAGAAAATGCATGAATTCACAGGAAAGCTGACTCTGCCTTTCTTTTTAAGACAATAAATCAATTAATCATCAATACTGTTGCTCCAAGACAAATTACAGACTAAGTATTTGAACGATAAATCATCACTACAAGTCCTAGCCCTGCCCTGCATCTAACCTTAGTAGAGACTCAGCAGTTTCACACATGAGTTGATTTCATTCAAGACAAAAAAATTGGGCTCTGAGATTTTTCTGCTTTCAAACTGGATCTGGGCCAACCTTAGGCACAAAGTGTTCCACTCAGCTATGTGGAGGAAGGGCCAGTATAGTCCTAAATGACCTGAAGGTCATTTTAAACATTGTTAGGGATGCAAACCTACCTTAGGGCAGGAGTCATCCCTAAGAATTAGGATTAGCTGAATCTTCTGTACAGGGGAAAGACTGGGTTTTTTTCAAACCTGTGAGGCTGAGTCCATGAACAGTATCTGGTCCTGGGCTTCAGCCTTCTTCTGGGTGGAGATGGATGCTGAACCAAAACTCCACTCCAAACCTTCCATCTTTAGTGTTCCCATATCTGGTGAATGATTCGCATTCAAGATCAGGTCCATTTTATCACCTTGTTCACAAATGTAAGATCATAGTTAATAGTGTCGTCACAGGCTATGCAGTATCTCCCAAGCTGACTGATGATGGTTTTAGGACCATTCTTACCACTTGTGTTTTTCAAGGAGAAAAACAAGAAAGACAGCCTCTTCCATGATGACAACTTAATGGCATCCATACTTGACCTGGTCATGGCAGGAACAGAGACCATAGCCACAACACTCCAGTGGGCCATCCTGCTGATGATGAAGTACCCAGAGATTCAAAGTGAGCTCCTTTCACCTACGCTCTATCTATGTTCCATGGTTGATATGAGGAGGGGAGAGGTCTCAGATCCACAAAAGCTCTTTTGTCTTAAGAGCTGAATCCCATCTCTTAATTGTTATGAATTCCTGATGTAATTAGATGCTGACCAAAGTCACAACAAAACAGTTCCTTTGCCTTGCTAGGAGAGAGGATGCGTGGGGAGTAAACTACAATGCTGGGGAACCAGCCCATCCACGTGCCTGAACTAGAGGGGGGAAACCCAGGCTGCTGTTTTAAGGAACCCTCTCCCTCCAGACCCTTGAAAAGTATGTTTTTACCCAAACCAGATCTGAGGAGGAAGTTCACTTCCTTGCTGATGCACCTCCATTTTGTTTATTTCTTCCAGAAAAGGTGCAGGAGGAGATTGGGAGAACTGTCAAAGCTGGAAGCTGGGCCACGTATGAAGATCTGAAGAACATGCCATTTACGAATGCAGTGCTACATGAAGTGCAGAGGTTTATCACCCTCCTGCCCCATGTTCCCCGCTGCACTGCTGTTGACACCCACTTTAGGGGCTACTTCCTTCCCAAGGTAGGTAACTGCTCCATCCCAGGAACACACTACCCTCCTCATTTTTGCCAGTGCCACTACAGACCAATTTCTTTAGAAGGCATTACAGGACATAAGCCCAAAGCAGGTGTCTAGAATCATCCCCAGAAAAGTTTCTATGTTGAGTCTATGACACTGGCATTGTAGGATTATTGCTCCATAGTTGAGTCCATTCAACTACATGGAATCCAGAGAGACTGGTATTGTAGGACTCAATTCAGTCACTCTCACTTCCTCACTCCACAAATGACCCTGGTTTACCTCCTTGATGCCATCTGCACAGTGAAGTACTTGCAAGGGAAGTAATTTACAGGATCTGACCCTTTCCTTGAGGTTTTCACAGCACCAGTGGCATCTGGCTTCAGTCCTTGACACTGCTGGGAAAATCTCGGTGACTTCTCTCCTTACTGACTGAGGGGATAAAACCCTCAAGAGTCTCCACCTATCCCAGGTGGTGCAAATGTCCTGGGACACTGAAGTCTCTGCTGCAAAATGATCCAAACCAAAGCATTTCTACTATCTTTTGTGCGTTCATGTACTTTCTCTTCCAGGGTATAATTGTAATCCCATCACTTACCTCAGTGCTGCTGGATAAGACACAATGGGAAACACCACATCAGTTCAACCCCAACCACTTCCTTGATGCTGAAGGGAATTTTGTAAAGAAAGGAGCTTTCCTGCCCTTCTCCACAGGTAACTAACTGATCTGCTGATCTGCACAGAGCTGAGGCTATGGCAGGACTATTTTATTAGGATGTATACTAATGGGGTCTTCATGGCTAAGTACTGCAGTCAGACAGGACTGGTCGGGCTGCCAGCACAGCTATGCACAGGGTTCCATGAGCTCTCCTGGAAGTGAGTGTACAACCCAGGGACCCTCAAGTTCTGTCTCAAGGCAAGTCCCATGTGTGAGTGAGTCTGATGGAGAAGGTGTCATCCACTGCCCACTAGAGCCAAGGAAGAGAGTCCCAATAAGCCTTGCACCTTGGCTGCGTATTACAGCCAGTAGAGATCCCATGCAGGATACCAGAATACACCAGCTCGTATTACTCTCACTGTAAAATTTTAAATCCAATGCCCTGGATTGTTCCCAGAAATCACCTTAGACTGTGATTCTTCCAGTGCCACTTTTGAGAGCTGCCAAAGATTCCCAAAAAGACCTGTTGTTTTAGAGGAAGAAGCACAGCCCTGAGGTTAGGGGAGGTGATCCTGACACTACCTCCATTATCACTTTGGTCAAGTCACAAACTTTTTCTCTTATTGTTTTTTAAATCTCAATTTCACCTGCAAAATACAATTAACATTCTCTCTCTGGAGGCTCATAAACCCAACCCGCCCTGGGACTTAAACTGAGCTAATGGTAGGAACAGTTGTTAGATATCAGAAACTCTCCCTTAAGCCATCCTAGAAGAAGCAGCATGTCTTCCCCCATGCTTTCCTAACAGCCATAAATGTTTCCAAAGGTTGCTTGTTTCCAGACATGCCTGCCCTCAGCCTGTGTCTGCCATGGCTCCAGCAGCGTGTGTTATGAAAGGGCACAGCTGGATGGAAGAGTCTTGCTGGGAGTTTAACAAATCCCAACACTGCAGGAGACCCTAAGTGCTCTAAAAGGAGATTTCCTGCAGAATCCTACAGATCCTCCCATGAAACTTTAGACTTTCCAGCTGTTCCTCTGAAAGGATGCTTGAAGGAACTCTAGAACATGCTCCAACCCCAGACCCTCAGTAGTGACTTTGGACATTAAGAAGCCAGTCCTCATTGTTCACCAAGCACTGCAATTGTACAGGGACTATCACGCAGGTGCTAGGAATCTAGCGCAGAGAGGGAGTAGGAAATAAGAAACATAATCTCTTCTAAAAGTGGGATGTTAGGATAAATTCCACTGGAAAAGTGAGTTTTGAGCCATTCCACTTTGGGAGGAGGTGGCATTTTTCTACCAGGCAGCTTTTCAAAGAGAAAGGATTAAAGATGCTGAGGGGGTTGGAAGAGATAAGGAGAGGTTATATATGGTTATATGCATAAATGCATAATAACCATGTTACACAGCTGTGACTTGCTGCTCCAGGTGGCTGTGTGACAAAAGAGACCAGGCAGGCACACTGTGCCATTGTGACTGGGACAACAACCTTCAGCAACTCGGGTTCCTCTACTCCGAAATATTGCTGGTGCATTTAAAGGGCGAACTCCTGCTTCCATTACAACATCTCAGATGCTAACATGTGCATGGCAAACACTGTAGTTCGCTCTTTCCATCAAGTAAACACGCTGCTTTCATCTGCAGGGCGAAGGAACTGCATTGGAGAAAGCCTCGCCAAGATGGAGCTGTTTGTCTTCTTTGTAGGGTTGCTTCAGACATTTACTTTTCAACCCCAGCCAGGAGTTTCAGAGTCTGACTTGGACCTTACCGTCCCCCAAACGACTTTCACATTAAGGCCTCAGCCTCAGGCAACCTGTGCTATCCTGCGTGAATAACCACAGCCTTGCTGAAGAGCAACCCAACAAGTGCGGAAGCTGCTTAGACCCAACTTAGGTACGCTAGGACTTGCCATACCCCCATGCTGCCACATCACCCTCTTCCACATCCCCTTCCCACTGTCTCTGTCCACTTCCATTGCACTGCTCTCCACCACTACACATGCCTCATAGGTTGCTGACCCCCTCTTTGCTCCCATGCTGTCAAGAGGTGCTATGATTGATTAGAAACCATGATGGTGCTTGACAAACACACACTTCTCAAGAGAGATTGAGCATGGAGCCAAAGGAGGGACCAAGGAGGTGGTTTGGTGAAGGGGATGCAGCCCATGAGTAGTATGTGTGACACCCAGGCTCCCATGGGGAAGCAATGAGGATCAGCACAGAAATTGGCTCAGAATCCTGAGAGAAGACAAACCGTCATTTGCTGGAAGCCACAGAAATACACTGTGTGTCACACACTTGAACCACCCATGGGTATGTCTTGAACTTTCCCAAGTTTCCTAATTATCCATAGCTTCTAGCAAAACCCTACCAGGCTTGGCAGCCAAGTCAAACACTGGGAGTGAAAAAAACAGATCAATTCACGTGATTTGAGGACAAAGTTATTTCTGCCTTGGAACAGTGTCCTGAAAGATGCCCCAGAGTCTGCAAACCTGCTTAGATAAGCAAGTACTTCTACCACCAACACTCAGTTCAACAGTGCTTTGGAGTCTGAATGAAACAAGATCTACAATTCTAAGTTTGAAGTCCAAGTCATAAGGCCACATGAGATTTGTACCAGAAGCTGATCGTAAAAGGCTAATAATACAGAAAAATAAACTAGACCCATTTCTAGTTTTATGTATCTCTGTCTTTCTTGACCTTGTTAAATAGGAGCAAACAGTGTTTCTCACTTCAGACCTCCTGGTTAATGTTAAGAGCCAACATCAGCCATCAATCTGCTGTTTGGGATGGTCTGGCTATTGGAACCAGTCATGCAATAGTGTTTGTATTGCACACCCTCATGCAAGGAGAATTGGGATCAGGGATTAGGCGAGACCCAATTTTGGTTGTTTTCCTTCCTCCCTAGCTTTGTCTCGCTGTTGTCCCTGTCTGTAGCACTTTTATCTGCCATCGTATTCCGCAATCATATTCCAGCTGATGCATAGCTCAGGCAATTTTTCATCCATTTATCTGCCTGTGAATCGCCACCTTTCCATGTGCATTTCCTTATCACATGCTTCATCACCTTGTTTTTTTCCCCCTTCATGGGAACCCAGTAAAATTTGAATCCCATGTCTTCATTATATTTCATATGCCTGCCTCCCAACTTTGCATTACACAGAAATACAAATGCCATGAAAGGTTGATCCTGAGCCCAGAGTGACAACAAGTGTTATGATTTTGCTTGTATCTCATGGGTGAAAGGTTCTGCATATCCTCATCCTAGGAAAAACCAGCTCAATTGGAGACCCTCCATATCTGCAGAGTGGATTCTTCAGGGTAAAGAACTCTTCCTTTGTGCTTGGCTATGGGCTACCAGTCAGTCCTGGGGATAGCCTTGGTTTTTCACTTTTATGTCTTCAGCTCTTGCTTGCAGAGGTTGAATGAAAGGTTGCCACCACAGCTTCACTGATGCTGGTGCTGTCCCTCTGCTTAGTGCCTTGGACCCTGAGCATCTCGCCTCTTGCCCTCCCAAAGTATCACCTGCTGGCAACGTCACTCTTGAGGAGTAGTGGCACCAGGGTGGGGTCTTCTTCAGGAAAGGCGGGGAGAGGCAGGCAAAGCAACTGGGGAGCAAGACACTTATCAAGTGAGTGAAGGAAGTCTTGGCCTTGCTGAAATGAAAAAGACTTTTGCCTTTTCCTTCAGAGAGGCCAGGACTGCTTCTGCTCTAGCCCCTTCCAAAAGTAATATGAACTCAAAACACAGCTATGGCAACAATCTAGTGCTCTGGGGGACAACACTGGGCTGTGCTCCAAGCTGCACAAATTCACTAGTGGAACCTCACACCTGACCCCTTGCCATGGGCTTAGGGGTTCTTGGCTTTGAAGGAAAGAGCTGGATCCCTTTGTACATGGCATAGCAGACTCCTGAGCCTGCTGGTTTTGGACATCACCTTCTGCACTGGCACTCTGCAGCAGGCAGAGCAGAGCCTGCGGCAGTGCTGGCTGCATGCAGAGATTCAGCAGACTGCGCAATACCCGAGCCCCAGAGCCATGAGCTACCAGGTGCAAACACCCAAGGAAAACAGATTTGATTCCTCTGAAAAGCGCATCCTACTTGTGCCCATGTTTGCAGATGGATGGAAGCACTCACTCCCCAGCACACTGAGTTAGATAGCTAAATATATCTCCACAAAAGAAAGTGCCTGCCTCTCATTTCTTTGTTCGACCAAACGATGGCAGAACACTGATAATAACTCAGTTATGTATTTATCTAGCAGAAAACATCCTATCTCAGGGGTAGAAATACCATTTCCACATTCCTCAGTGGTCCTGAGGGTCTTCCCTCTAGCTGTAAAACATTCAAAACATGCAAAACACACTAACTTGAATTGAAGGCAAGTATCTTGAGGCAGGACAGGTGGCTTGGTTCTTAAAGTAAGATCTGAACAAATCCAATCAACACCATGTCTGTGGCTTCTGCCACATGCAGCCAGCTGGGCAGGGTGTCCCATAGCCCAGCCTGCCATCCCAAGCTCTGTGTGATGCTGTGAACTGGGGCTCCTGTTCTCAGAGGGGCAATGGTCAGATGCAAGGATTGCAGCAACTGTGTAGATCTGTAAAACGAGGGCTGCTTTGTATCTGCAGCCCCAGTGAGCACTGGCCGGAGAAATAAGAAGTAATGTGCAGAATATAATTTCTATTTTATTTTTGCCACGAGATGGCAACATGATCCCTCCGAGTCACAGAGAGCCCAGCCCTGCAGTCCTTACTGGAGTAAAACACCCTGCCAGCCCCAAATTTGGGCTGTATAGGGAGAGCAGATCCAAGCCCTGAGGCTTTATGGACTCCCAGTCCGCCTGCATTTACCTGTGAGCAAGGCTGGCAGCAAAAGGCATTTATTTACCATGGAAGAATTGGAATTCCAGACTACCTGGAGGAACCAAGTGGTACACAGGGCACAGGAGAAGTCTTCTCCTCATCCTACAGCAGACAAGGATCCTCTGAGGGATTAATCATCTCAAACACCTTCTGGGACAATGGCTCAACCCATCTCTCATTGCAGTCCTATCAGGTCCTTCTGGTCTCCACTCAGCATTTCAGACCAAGGAAGAAACCAGCTGCCTTAGGAGAGTCCTGTTGCCTTCCCTGATGGGGGGATGTGATGAGGCTCCACCCCTAGTCATTTCAGAGGATGAGAGACAGGAATGTCAGGAAAAGTAAGGGTCCTGACAAATCTCACAGAGAACTGGGAGAAGTAAGGAAAGGGTAGATGGGCAGGTTTTCTGTGCTTTGCCTGGATCTGCCCAGCTTCTGTGCTGCTTAAGGAAAGAGCATTTTAGACATTTAGAAATACATCCCTGCAGTGTTTCCATGCTTGCTGTTCACACATTGTGCTCTGGAAAGAAGTTGTGCCTATGTATCTGAGCTACCTTTGTAAAAATGCTGGGGAGTGTCTTCACTTGTCTGGGGAGAGCTCTAAGCCCCAAATCAGTGCAGGCGTAGGAGAGCCTGTACCCAGAAAGAGCCAAAGACTCCCAAGGAACCTTGCTGATGTCCCTCAGAGCAAGGAGAATCTAAGAAGTGCAGAGTCTGGTATCTGGGATTCAAAGTCTGGGAAGTCTGAAAAGTGTTAGAAGAACATCCAATACACATAGAAAGTGTAGGTATCTGGGATTAATTTATCCTGTGTGCAGCAGAGAATGGGAAAAGAGCAGGGATTAGATGATGACACAACATTTGTATCTTCTACTGCTCTCCAGGTGAAGAAATTACTCACTCTTGAGAAACATCCTCTCTTAGAGGCTCAGAACAAGGATAACTTTCTTACACTGTGTATTTGATGTGTAAGGTAGTGACTGTCCTGCCATGTCGAGTTGTGTCTGGCTGGGATTTTTCAGGTCACCTTACCCACTAACCATGGTGGTAGGTAAGGTGACCTGGGTACTGACCAAATATTTGTTCAATGGCATGTAGCCATTACTTGCAAGGCTTTGGGTAAGAAGATGTCACTTGTAGCTACTCCACAGGGATCTGATTTCTCCTTAGTGCATCTGCTAGGCTCTGCAGAAAACCATTACATGGATGTTTCTCAGTTTGGAGCCTTGGCTTTATCGGCATATCATAGCGCAGACACACTGTGGCTGGGGTCTCATGGTGAGTCCAGCTCAGATTCTTTGACCCCAAGTGGAGGCTTAAAAATGAATTTCTGCATCAAGCTGTGAAGAAGATGAAGAGCTCCATTGTCGCAAGACTTTCTCCAGTGCAGTTTCTCTGCCCTGCAATGTCAAAGCATGGCTGTTGGTGGAGTGATTGGGTAAGTGGTGGCCCAACCCAACATCTCTTCCCTGCTATTTGGTAGTGTGAGGGACAGCATAGGCCTCAGAAATGCAAAATAGCATGGCATGATATTCAGCAGCCATCACTGTTGGTCTCCTACAGGCATCTGAAAAGGGTTGTTTCACTCTGAGCCTGCAAGGAATTTATCTGGGACACCCTAGAAACCAGCCTTCCCAAGGCAGAGGGAAGGTTTAACTTGTTTGTAGGTGTTGAATTCTTTGTAGATCCCCAGTGTGCCTCCCAGTGTGGGCTGAGGGGCTGTTTGCAAGTCATCAAAGCCTAGGGCAGGTATTTCTAAACCATCCCCAACACCGATCCCTGTGCTGTTCCCAACAGAGGCTCAGATCCTGTCACTTGCCTAATGTCTTCTGAGGGGCACTGGGAATGTGGGGCCCCGTGTGGGATCAAACACTTTCATTACCTGTGGAGAAGGGCAGGAATGCTTTCTTCTTTATGAAGTTCCCATCCACATCAAGGAAGTGGTTGGTGTTGAATTCATCTGGCGTCTCCCATGGGGGTGAGCAGAGGAATCACTGTTGTTCCCTGCAGCAAAGCCATGCTCTGCTTTAGCATGTGGGGATGCAGCAAGCTTCTGGCTTGCCCATTCAGCCATGTAACCATTCCTCCCTTTGGGCTGTGTCTGGAAGCAAACTTCTACCTCTGAAGAACTAATTTCTGGGCTTGTACATGACCATCTGACCCTTAGTTAGTGTTTACTTGAATTACTGAATAATATGTGATTAAACAACAATAGTTGTTGACTGTTCTGAGTTATGAAGCAGAAGAAAGACATGGGCCAGGCTTCCTTGCTGCCCAGCTGATCTCTGCTTGCCTGAACCAAGACAATGAGATAATGCCATGATACTCCAGAGGCCGCACTGCTCTACAGGGCACAAGTGGCAATGGAAAGTGAAGAGAATAAGGAACAGACTGCAGGTTATGAAGACTGAGTTGTGGGAAATGGGAAGTTGTGTACATAACCCTGAAGTCACGCTGCCATTAGTCTGTACTCAGTGGAGACAGGGGTTAGGAAACTGGCTCTTTCCCACCAAAATCCTTGTACTTCAAGCTCCCCTACTCCTCATGACAATTTGCCCTGTAGGTCACTGGTGTGCTGCACCCCCCTCTTCAACTGAAAAGCAGCAAGTACCTTGGGAATGAAATAACCTTTAAAGTGGGTGTCAACCAAGGTGCACCATGGAATGTGTGGCAGGAGGGTGACAAATCTCTGCACCTTGTGGATCATTGCACTGGTAAATGGCATGTTTTTCCCGTCCTCAAAGGTAGGCAAGCAGCTAGGGCCAAGAACTCACTCAATCTCTGTGTGCACCTTTTCTGCAGGGCAAAGAAAAGGCAGTAAAGCACCTGCAAATCCCAGCTTATGCTGACTGTTGGTTGGACTACCTCAGGGCAGGAGGTCTGCTGTCCCTGGGAGCAGATGGAGAACAACCCCTCAGATCCTTTGGTCCTGAATGGCAGCATACAAGGTTTGGATGGAACTGGAGAGGTTCCAGATGCTCAGGTTTTGCATGCTCTGACACACAAAGGAAGCTACAAAGCTTTTACAGCTGAACATCACTTACAAAGTCACTGCAGAACACTTCAGCACACTATGTAAGAAAAGTAAAACCATAAAGATGTCTTGATCTGAATCTTGGGGTACTTCAGCAGCAGCAGGATGACCCATTGCAGCGTTGTGGACGTCGTCTTAGTGCCAGCCATGCACAGGTCGAGTGCAGAGGCCAATACATTCTCATCATGAAAAAGTGTATTGCTTTTGTTCAGCTCCTTTAGGGAAGTACAAAGAAAACACCCACTCCTGTTAGCATGGAAAGAGAGAACTAGGAGGGATAACTCACTCTCAGAGACATTGCAGTGGGATGCATGTGCCATGATGCACTGCACTGATATTTCAGTACAGAAATTCTTCGGTTTTCATCAGAAATATTGGCATACTTCAGATTTTGCTTCCTCAAAGTGAACTATTTGGACAAATCCATCAATTTTTGAACATCACATGACATTTATCTGCTGTGGGCAGTGGTTATCTCATTGACTGAGGACTTCCATGCCCTCCTTGTGGATCCTGAGAAGGCAGAAATTGATGAGAGGTGCAGGACCATGCTTTCCCATGTCAGTGAGCTGGAATTTGTCTAGGTGTGTGGCTGCCTCCTAGGAGCCACAGGAAAACCACAAAGGCCCAGGACACCTCTGGCACATCAACTCTGCTGTTCCTGCTTTGAGCTGCTGATGGGAAACACTTTGCCTGTTCCTGTGTGCAACAGCTGAGGCACTTGCACAAGGCATCAGGCGCAAGGATCCATCCTGCTCACCACCCATCTCAAGTACACAGATACAAACACTGGGAGAAAAAGGGCAAATACAGACTGACCCTTCCTTGCCATACTCCCACACTAGAATTCCTGTTGGTAAATCCACTACGTGGGAGCCAGTGATGTGTTTGCACAAATGCAATAGGAACTTCTGCATCTCTGCAAGTGGGAATCTGTTGCCTCTTCCCATGCCTGTAGGGAGTGATGTGCCTGCCTGGAGGGTGTTGGAAAAATGACATTGCCTCTCCCCCAGCCTCCAGCAAGGAAGGGACTTCAGCTGATACCTGAGGACAAGTTTTAGACATTCATGTGATAAGGTCTAGTTAATTATTTCTTGCTTTTCATCCAGTATGCAGAATTTAACATATTAAAATAGAAGGACGGTTACCCAAAATTTTCACACAGACCACAGGAAAGCATGTTCATTAGACAAGCAACACAGAGCTTCCCTGTATAAGGTACAGCACTAAGAATTGTTATATTGTTAAAATACCTCTTGTTTGAATACCAGTGCATCAATGTAGCTCTTCAGGTTGTTCTCATTAATGCTTTCTTTGCTTTCCTTGATGCACTTCTCTAAGACCACACACACCTCTCCTACTTTTTTCAGTATCATCTTGTGAGGTTTGAGGAGAAATCCAAGGAATGGGTAGAAATTAAATAACTAAAAGGAAAAAGAAAGGAAAAAATCACCTTGTAAAACTCGAGTACCATAATGGAGAAATCATTCATGTGATGAACCAAATGACACGCGATTGGAGTCTCTATTTTTGGTAACTAAAAAATTTAAACATATAAAAATGCCTCCTCTTATTAAAAATTCTCTACAGAAATGAATGGAGCCCATCAGGCCTGTCTAGACAGAGCGTATAAACATGAATAAAAAAAGTTACAATTAAGGGAAAGTGATAGTAAACTCACGAAACAAAGAAATTACATTTTTAAAGAGGTAATAAACCAAAAAGATAAAGCACCAGGCATTACACAAAGAAAACTCCCAATGTTTAGCAAGCCAAAATACTTGTGTTTTAAAGTTGTTAGATCATCATTTTTAACTTTCACATGAATTATAAATCAATTACACTTAGTTCTCAGCATCATTAAATTTCACAGCACAATAAACAGTTGCATGTTATGTGCAGGGGGGTTACTTACACCATTTCTCAATGTTATAAATAAACTGGCTGCAGAGTAAGATTCACAAATCTCTTGCACTTTCTAAGTGGTTGTAATCTCTGCACAAACTAAACCTGTTGGAGAGAATAAAAGAGAAGGGATGTTGTACTATTGCAAATTGTAGCTATTGTAAGTAGTTCTTACTCAGGTATTGAATTCATCAACATCTTTTTGTTAACAGCTTTCACTATTACCTTAAGTAACTAATATTCTATGCCTTGTGATGGAGGATTACATATAACAAGAGCTCTTGGTTCAGTGTAATTTCATTGTTTCATGAGAGCCTCTTAGATGAAATACTCCTTTTATGTGGCTCTGTTGAGGAGGTATTGATTTAATGCCACTATAGGACATATGAGAGGTCTGTATATAATGTCTGCAGCTCTGCACTTTGTACTACTACTCTGTAACTTCACTAGTTTCTTAAACTCGTAGCGAGCAACCAAAACCAAGTAACCCCCATATACAATTGTCCTAAGAGGTTACTTGTATATTGACGTTCCCACAGCATCCAGCAGAAAATAATTCAAATAAGCCTGGCTATTTTAATTTGTGCACCCACAAATAAAGTCAGTATTTCAATAGTTTTATCACTGGTGTGTTTTTAAAGAAAGAAACTCTGGCCATGCCTTCCAAGAGGGACCTGATTCCCTCCTGTCTTTTCCACCTGAGCCTTGTTTGGTCTGAAAATACTAGGGACTAGAATATGCTGGCATTGTTTCATTCTGGGTACTGTTGGAAAAATACTGACAAAACGAAGAAAACATCAAAAACCAGGAAAGCAGAATCTTTATGAAGTCTTTGCAAAAGTGCTAAAACCATCTTTGAGACGCACTCCAGGAACATTTTTCTGCAGTTACTGTGAAACACTGAAGATAGATAGAAGGTTGCCCAGATCCCAGACCTATATTAGGGTCTATTTCCTCAAGGGAGAGAACAATTAGCCATAAACCATGAAGCTTGCTAAATAAAGTGACTAAAAATAACATAAAGGAAAATGTCTACAGTACTTCTGAGTATTTCCACTGGTGCTCATGACCATGCCCATGCTAAGTCCCACCATGCTGGAAACCTCAGTTATTGTACTTTCTGGCTCTGGAAGAATCAAACACATTCCTTCTGCTGGCACAGTCACATCAGCATCTCAGCCCAGTGCCACCGCATGATGTTGGACCTCCTTCACAGGAGGATTTCATGAAGGAGGAAACCCCCAAAGAAAGAATCTCGGATTAGATGATCTTTAAAGGTCCCTTCCAGCCCAAACCACTCTATGCTTCTATGAATCTTATGTTTCAGTAACCTAAAGATACCCCAAATCCACCCAGCAGAAGTAAATTCAGTTGACCTACCAAATCAGGTGAGAGCATCTCAGCACAGAGAGTAACTTACATGCAAGGATGGAGAGCCAAGAAGGTGCATAACTTCATCTATGAGTCTTAACAGGGTGAGAAATGTTGGGTCTTCATAATCAAACCTTCTCCCAAAGAGAAATGCAAAGGTGATGTTGCTGGAAGCCATATTCAAAAACTGTAATTGGAAAGGTCCACCTAAAAATGAACAAAATCATAACTGTATTGGTCATTTCTGGAGCAACCCAGAGGTCTTTACAGTGGCTTTATAAAGTAGCATGAAACACCCGATGCCATCTCCAGTTCACCTTCAAAGGATTTGATCAACTTGGTGAGAAAGCGAAGCTCCTCAAGCATCCTTTCTTCTCCAAGATGCTTCCCCATGCCAAGATCCTGCATGGTGGCTATGGTGAACTGCTGCGTTGTCTTCCAGAGCTCTTGAGAAGAACAGAACACACCTATGGAGGGAGTGCATACCCTGTTTGCTGAGGTCGCTCGAGATTTGCTTCGAAACACCAAAAGCAGCTAGGGAGCACAGGTATTTTGTAACCTGGAGGAGCCTGCTTGGGAGAGGACTGTGGGGTGCTGGAGAGGGCTGGCTTGAGCAACCACTACCCCAGGTAGGTTCAGAAGGGCAGGAAGCAATATTTTGAAGTTGGGTGCTGTTCACACCAAAGCTCTGGGTTTGCCTTGTTTATAGCTTTGTCTCTTTGCAGCCATACACAGTAAAAAGCTCATGGTATTTGTCTCAGGCTGACTTGTTTTGCCTTAGAAAAAGGACCCAGCTGGTTCAGAGAGCAAGGCTAGGAGCAGATGATGCCACTCCATCCCTGTCATGAACAGGACTTTAGAGGATAAACTATGTACTGTGCAGGGGGACAAGGAGGGGTGGCAGGGAGGCACCTTTGCTTACACCTACGGAATACCCCCACAGCTGGCTAACCTATTGGCCAAAAAAAGTGCTCAGCCAAGAGGGCACAGGGGCTACAATTTGAAGTCCTCCCTTCCCAGGAGGGCTTCCAGGGCTGAACATATTCTACATCTCCATCCTATGGTTGGGAAAGTAGCTCAGTGTTCCCTCCCTCTCACTGGGCCTCACTCTTAAAGACAAGATGAAAAAAAGCCCCCCACACTATATGCATTATATACATATTAGGTCATCACATCTTTTCCTTTCAGCCCTGGATTATTCCCTTCATTGTTTTTCAATGTCTAGTCTTGGGCAATGTACTACTTTTTAACATGCAATTCAGAAACATGCCAAAAATCTGTTTACTCAAAAGTTAATTGTTTGAGGTACAAGCAGCCCGTGCTATTGTGCTCTTGCCAGTTCTTGCAGTCTTTATCATGAGTCATGCATGATCCACACTTTGTCTGAAATCCCAGTAACTGTAGAAAAGAGATTGCATAAGGACCTCGGTCTTCACATTGTGAAAAATAATTTTCTTCCCTCTGCACTGAAAAAAAACAAACCCTTCTTGAAATGTGACCCAAGTGCCTCTAAAAGCAAAAAACCTGATAAGGCAAACAAGAAGTATTTTCTTTAATAAGACAAACAACTGCCCCTAAGCCCCACAAAATGTAGCCCTCGATGATAAGGATGCAAGCTCAAGACTCTTAAATAATGCTGCAGTGAAACAACACATTTGAGAAACAGCAGAGCAAGCACATCTTTATCTTTTCAACCTGCCAGTACTGTTTCCATGTTGGATGTGACAGAGCATGGGTATAGGTGGTCTGTCTGCAAACACATCCCCCGTGTTCAGAAAAGCATTCTTTACTGTCTCGTAGCCAGTCAGCACCACCACCTTCTGAAGCCCCAGCTGGACGGTGAAAACGGGGCCATGTTTCTCTGAAATCTAGCAGGAGAGAAAAATCAGAGTGTGGAGGTCATCAGTGGCAGTGGTACGTCCTGCCTGGGTAGATGAAGAGTTGCTTTCTCCCCTCCTTCTGTGGCCAGAAGGGCTAAAGGGATGCCAGAGATAAAGCCCTGAGACACTTAAATGAAAGAGGATTCAAAGCAAATAAACGGTAGTCTGCTTAACCCAAGAGCTTCCATAAGACCACTGTTTTTCTGAGCTGGTTTGGCTCAGTTTGGTACAGTGGGTTAAAAGAGGCAGAAGAGAAGATATTTTGGACACCACCAGCAGCATAAAAGTATCACCAAGATTTGCCAGACAAATACAGAGCAACTGCTGACTGAGCAGGCTTAGTGTTACTGTATACCACAAGAGAATGAAAAAGCAGAGGTGCCCATATTTTTTATAGAAGTGAAATAAAAGCTTTGGTGCAATTAATGCAAAGAGGTATATAATATGATTCACCAAGGATGGACATATGAAGGCATAAGAAACCATTGCTCTTTCAACTTACCTTAGAAAATTACCACAATACCACACTCTGCTGTTTATTTCTGCTGTACCATATATTTCAAGCCAGTGCACAGCAGGACTTTATAATGAAATCTGAGATACTGGGTAGCAGAAGCTCTCTGGAGGCTCACAAACATGGTCTTGCCAGGCCTTACAAGGAATTAAGACTTGACTGAGAGCAATGGAGTTGAAACTGCATAAAGCTGTCATGAGATGAAGCCTTATGTCCCATAAAAGAAACCAGTTCTGGCAATGTCAACCAGAGGAGGTTCCAAAGCTTTGCAATCCCCCCTGCTCTACCAAGCAAACAGGTAGCCCAGGCAGAGTCTAAACAATGTTTCAGCAATAGAGCCAGAGTTGCTGAATTTCTGCAAAAAAAAACCTATTTCACACAGTTCATTGATTTCAATCATTTGTTCAAAATAATGGCTGGTTGCTGATTCATCTAATGCGCAACTTTCATGGGCAATCTTTTAGGGATACTCCTTTCAGGGAGGATTTTCTACTCCAGGTCATTTGTTTGCTAATTAATTCCTTAGAAGTCTTCTGGCTTTTAAGTCAGCTGCAGACTGTGCCTGCTATATCCTGACTGTGAAGGGCAGAGGATGGAGAGGGGCTCTTTTGGGCTGCAGCCACAGACCCCTTTCCCAGTTGGCTTCTTGATGTTGTAGTTCCATGAAGAAAAGAAGGCATCAGTGTGGCAAATGTGTCCAATACCTACCCCTGAGTCTGTGCTTCACTAAGATGCTATCACTCTGCTCCTGGGTCCTCAAGTCACCTCCTTTCCAGCCTCTACTTTGCTTATTCTTCCCAGCATGTCCAGCATGTTCCACAACCCCAAACCCCTTTCTCCCCTACTTTCCACTAGAGAAGAATTTCCGGTCTTGTCAGAAACACGAATCACAGTCCAAAGCACTTCCCAGCTCCTAAGCTCTGGGCATTGAGCCCACAGTGAGCTGGCTGGAGTAAGATGAAGATGCATCTCCATAGGCATCTTAGAGGCCCCTCGCATAGCACAGTGATGGGAATGAGACAGGGAAAGCCAGCTCCTCTTCCCTACATTATGCTAAGAAGGGCTGAGGGCTGCTGGCAACCTGATGTTAAAAGGTTTGGTGAAGATGCAGTATATTCACACCCCATGTCCTGACCGAAAATGCAGCTGAGCTCTGAGAGACTAAATACATTGAAATTTCCCCCTTTTTTTTCCTAGAAGACAGATGCAAGGAAACTGTGATTCCTATAGGGAATCTTGTCTTCATAAGCCCAACTCATTCACTGTTTCAAATGAGTTCTACATCTCTTTTTTGAGCTGCGCTACATTAATTCCCATTCTCATGAAACACTGGCAACATGAGAAATACAAGCTATCTTGGCAACCACGATTAAGCATCCATCTTTCAAGTTGGCTACGTGGACACGCAAATATTTTGAAGTATTTCACAACACAACGAAGATGCCAAAATTTAGGTCCATCAGTCTGATCTGATACAGATACTCAGTTTTCTATGTGTTGAGTAGTTCTCAGTGAAGCACTGCTCATATTTATCATTACCCTTTGCAGAGTTGGGACTCCGTTGAACCGTTTCCTTGGTCTCCAAGGAAGTTTAACTGTCTCCAACAGTTTACTTGGTCATTCTGAAACCTTTGAAACATCACATTTAAAAAAAAATATATTAATTTAGCACCAAAAATAATCTCAGAACTCTCACCAGAAGAGGATTTTAAATAAGTACATGCTGACATTCAACAGCCTAGAAAAAAAGGACACTTGTTCTTACCTTCATTAGTGACTTGTCTTGCCTTCTGATGTCCAGCAAATGCAGGTTGCCAATGATGGGAAAAGGAAATGGACCAGGAGGCAAATTTAAAGCTGATTGCTTAAAAACTTCTAAAACATAGAGTGCAGCTGCTAAAAGCAATGAACACACTCCACAGATGAAGAGGGGCACGAAGGTAGCCGTATTTTGGCGGAGCTTGCCTTTCTGAAAAGCGACTGAGATACCTTCCTTAGAATGCTTGCATTATCACATTATATTTATCCAGAGTAAATGATGTCAGGGGTTTTGCTGCACTTTGCACAATCTTCCCTTCCACCCCCAGCTCTCCACAAAATCTGGAATTTATGTCTGCAAAAGGCAAAGTCCAAGCACTATTTGTGGAGGTGCAGGCTTGCAGGTTCCCTGCTGAGTGCAGTGGAGCAGGTTTGCTTCATTTCAAAGCTTAGCTTGGGTTCTTCTGCCTGCAATGAGTTCCCAGCACCTGGGAGTCCCGTATCTGCTTTATTAGGCATCGATCATGAAATTTGTCTTAAGATTTCCTCTTCATCCCTCTGTTCTATCCTCTTCATCTAATCTACTTCTCTGAATACAGACAGCTCTTTACAAATACTTATCTCAAAATAATCCTTCAGGGAAGATAAACATTGCTCATTCCATGGTACAGTGTAGGAGAAGCAGGTCATGCAGGTGAAGAGACTTGCTCCAGACCATGCATGAGGCTGGTGGACCACTGGTGGACACCATCTTCCCTCTTCTTCCACCTTCTTGTGCCCTTGCAGTGAAACATTTTCTCCCAGTGAAGGGAAAGGAACTCTTTCATGAGTGGCTCTTTCAGCGAGAGTCATTTCTTCCTGCACCCCATCCAGTGTTAACTGGTACCATTTTCACTCTACACAACAAAAGGAATATAAAAAACATGTCTTGGAGAGCTGGATTACTGAATCAATATTGATGGAAGGCTTTGTAAAAGACCTGCTGTTCCCACTGGTTTCTGGCAGTGTCTAACAGAGTGAGACCTGTCAGAGACATCAGTGGGAACACATCACTTCCATAAAATTACCGTGATCTCACAAATGATACAACGGTTCCTTAGGTAGGAAAAGAGCATTTGACTTTTTTTTTCCCAGCCCTTTTAGATCACAAGGATTTTGTACTGCTCCATACTGTGCTATGAGATGTTATCAGCCCTGAGGATGCTTTGGGACTGCTCCAAGGTGCAGCAAGGTTCAGACTTACACTGGACACAATGCCCATTCAAACCTACACTCTCCCATCCATCTCAGGCAGGAAATGTAATCCTAGCTCATACCCAGTCCTCTCTCAAACAGTGCACCACCTGGGAACAGTCCATCCGTCCCAAACCCAGTTGTGTTACAAACCACAGCATCTGTGGTAAGAGCAGGAGACTGGAAGTCTGGATATGTGTGTTTGCATCCTTGCTTGGACAGTGACCTGTCTATGTGGCTCTGAGGAGTGTGGTGCAGGGCTGTGCCCTGGGATAGCCCTGGAGCATGTGTCAGCACTGGGCTGCAAATGCAGCCATTGTGCCCAGAAGCCCGCTCCCCTGGGCCTGACTCAGCTCCTGCCCTTTCACCATAGCCATTTCTGGGAGGTCTTTTGGGCTCCACCCAGAGGGAAGGTAAGCAGGGAACAGTGTAGGAATGGCATCTTCTTGCACTGCAAGGATTACCAAAAGCAAGGGGCAGAGAGAGGTCACTGACACTAAAATAGTTTATGATTCCCAAGAAGAAGAGAGCAAGGAGGCAATTGGCCTACCTCTGCCAGCCCTCTGCCCTCAACCCGCCCAGAGGGAAGAAAGGTTACTCATTACCTGCTGGGTGAAGCAACCCATGAAAGAGGCAAAGCTAGGCAAAGATAACAGCATCTCAGATGGCCTACAAAAACATTTTCACCTAAGAGATTTCGCTTAAAATTTAACATTAAAATTAATCTTTATCTAGGAGTAAATGATCTCTCTGAAAAAAAAAATAAAAATCAAAATGTCCCCAGTCAGGGCAGGGTCATGTCAAAAGTCACGGGAGGAATTACAGAAAGAAAAGCCCTTACACAGAGTGCCCTAGGATTGAACCACTCATGGATTTGTAGCTGGGAAAGAAAGTCATTCCTTGGGCTGTGTGTAATTATTTGGAGGTTGAGCCCTTCCAAATCAGCCACTCTTGGACAAGGAGGACTGGAGAGCAAAAAGCAAGGTCTCCTTCCACCCCTGGAGACAGCAATGGGCAAGTGGGGTTAAAATTCATACTGTGATAATCACCATTTCTGGATGAATCCTACTGTAACCTTGCATAGCAAGGGATGTCGGAAGCAGCAGACCGCTTGGGCACTGCTCCTGCAGGAATCAGTGGAGAGAGTCTTCCAAATCGTGATCTGTGGTGTTTGGGACTACATTGAGCAGGTGGATGAATCTGTCCCCCAAAGCATCATCTGGTAGTTTTGAGAAGCATCGTGTTAATTCACCAGCAGGTACAGAAGTGGCATGCAGAGCACACTGGGATGCATTCTCCAACCCTGCAGCAAAGTCCCCTTCACCCAGCTGCGTCCCAGCCTCTCCCATAGGTGGACAGTGAATTCATGTCCCCTCTGGGCATCTGGTGGTAGGAAAGAATTCAATTTCTGCTTTAGAGGAAAAGGCCTCAGTCCCAAGCTACGTTGCCCATCTCTTTGGTTCTAGAGTATTTTTCAGGGTGAGTACAATGAAATAACCCGGCTGCAGAGATGAATGCTCTATCCCCTTCCCTAGCACTCGTGGCAGCTCCAGTCTGAAGCTGCTTTACCTGATGAGCACTGCGTCAAGACATTTAGTCTCTCCAGAGGCCAGCCTGGCAGAAACTCTGCTCTCAGGCCTTTTACATTTCTCTGAGGCTTCAGGTTTTGCTCTTCGTCAACACACAGGGCTCCTCCTTCCCCAGCACCACTGGCAAACCCAGCTGCAGCACATCTTAAAGCAGGATTTGATGTGTTTTTTGACATATTTAAGATAAATACTTTTTCACTTGTCTCTTTCTGCATAAAGATTTCAGTCTTTCCCTCTCCCTTTTCTCTCTGAAAAAACCTTTGTTTCCCACCCTGACCTGCTCCCCAGTGGTACCTGTGGGCAGCCCTGTCCCATCTGCATGACATTTACCTGCACAGAAAGCTCTGCACATGCATGTCTGTGTCTGGGTGGCAAAGCCACGCTGCCATCCCCAGCACTGTGGGTACATCCACCTCTGCTGGGGTGGATCAACCCCATACCAGCCTGGGACACATCCTCATGCAACCGCTGCCTTCCTGACATCAACAGAGCCTGAGACCAGCAGTTCTTCCAAAGCAAACACGAAATCATGGGCAGGCAAAGCCTCCCACCTCCACAGTCCTGAATTGCTATGCACCAAATAAAAGCTGACCTTGACAAAGCAAAAAGGCCAAGTCTCCAGGTTGGGTTCTTCAGGTTGCAATCTTAAAAACACCATTTCCCATCTCTGCAAGTGGGCTTTTCCTCCCCAACCCCATCTCCATGCAGGCCCCCTCAAGCAAGCACAAGAGTGCCAGGAGCCATGTCCTGGGAAGCTGGAGGGATCAGCAGGAGGCTGCAGGACCCGCGTGGAGAGCAGGTCCTCTGGGAAAAAGCCAGCAGCCCTCTGGCATGGGTGGCCTCAGCAGCACTTTCTCAGCTCTGCAGCCGCAGCTTGCAGGCAACCACAAGAGAAAACTAAGCCCTTCTCCATTTATTTTTCCTGGGAGCTGTGTTTTAAATGTTACCCTGAAGGGCTCTTTGAAGCAGCACGAGCTGCCTCAGACCTTTCTCTTCAGCTCATTAACATGTGCTGACAGCTGTGACAGCCTGGGGCAGCAAAGCTGGGGCAGCCCCAAGCGAGCTCTGGCCCAAACCCCATGGCTCCAACCCCTCTGCGCCTTGCACAGCCAAAATGCTGCTGACCCTGAAACCAGCAAGTGCCTTAGAGTCATTAATCCACACGCAACCTTTGTCTTCCAGGTTGGAGCTGCCTATCATAAGCTTGTGTCTTGTAACAGAGCTTGGGGGCAGTGGCTCTTACTGGGTTTGGAGAGTTTTGGTGTTTTCTATTCAGAGCTGCAGGCCAGGCATTTGTCAGAGGAAGGTTAAAGTGCTTAAATGGTGTTACGTGAGATACAAGCTTCTACAGTGCTGGGCAGATTATCTTTTATAAAGCCCCATCGTATTTCCCAAATGAGTGATGGGGTTTGTCACTCATTTCAGGGACGCTAGCTCTTCTCCAGCAGCAGCACTTTACGCTTCGCTTGAATTTGAAGTACACTCCAGCTAAAGAAATGCCATTATTCCTGGTTTATAGAAGGAAAATCCAGATGGAAAAGGGAAAAGATTAGTTCAAAGGCCCAATGAGACAGTGACAGAAACATGAGCAGAATCACAGTCATCACTAACAGGCGTACCAAAAACGGCAACACAGTAAATGTGCCCCCAGCAGATAATAAAGTAAGTCAATCTATCACAATTTGGATATTTTATCACCCATGGACCACTTGAAACATGACTTGCAGTGATAAAATCCAGCCTGTGGTTTTAAACCTGTAGTCTCAGCAGACACTGAGAAAGGAGCTCATCTCACTCAAGAGCTGTTTTAAATGAACCCAGACCCTGGAATCCCCTGGAAGCATTTTAGGGGATTGCAAATTGTGGGATTTGGCAATGGTAACTTGTCACTGCACTGCATCACCAGCCAAGGGGAACTGTGCTCCTTACTTCTTTTAAGGTTACAGATTAATATTTAATCCAATCAGTAATTTTAAGTTAAAATGTAGCAGTATTATCTGACAGGGTAACAGCATGGACAGTTACCAGCCTGCAAGTGAATGAGGTGCTTGCCCATTTTAAAGAAGGATTACAGTGCTAGTCAGCTTCATTTCCCTCTTGCTAGTGACTCTTCATGAACAGGGCAAAAATCCTTACAGGTTTGCTCCATAAACCATTAGCCAATAAAAGTCTAATTAGGCCAGAGACATATGGTCTTGAACCAGTAAAAAATTCAACATCGGTGGCTACAATGTTATTAACCTCACAAAATGTGGATGTATTTCAGAAGCTGCTGGCTGAGCATTGAAAACTGTCACATTCAGTCTTCAGCAGCGACACTTTTGCTCTCCTAAGGCAGCAAAAAAGGGAAAAGCCAACAGTTTTGCTAATGAAAACTGCTTTTTTCTTGCTTTCATATCAATGAAGAGCATGAAGATGACACAAAAGATCTTTTCTGAACAGGCTTTTCCCAACCATTAAAATAGTCTTAGAGCTTCAAAGCCTTAATGAAACAGGAGATGATATGATATGAAGCCAGAAGTAGTCAGTACACTTTATGCATTGCAATTTTATAGTTATGATAACATAAATCCAGTTGTTGGAATAAAGCTAGTTCTAAGTCACTGTGAAGTACTTGCAAGTGTTCTGCCTGTTCTAAAGAAGAGTCCACTGTAATCTCTAAAAAGCAACTGCAAGAGGTGTTTACTGCAACTCTTGACTGACCATACCTCTGCAGGGTAGCCAGGTTATTACCCCAGACCTGTAAACCACGAGGTGTCACTCCCACATCACCACCATGTCCCCACTGTCCAGGCAGGTGAGTGACCTGCAGGAAGCACCGTGTGGTCCCAGAACTCAGTAGCTCAAGAAGCTTCATAAGTCCAGAGAACAGGGGATGTCCTCAGCTTGCCACAGAATCACACACAGAACCACAGAATGGTTTGGGTTGGAAGGGACCTTGAAGATTGTCTAGTTCCAACCACGGTTTAAATTTCACCTCATCTCTTACTTTGGGCCTCTGCCAAAGGCAAAGGGATTCAGAAGGAGCTGAGCTCTGGGATGAAATGTCTTAGGGAAGATGCATCAGCTTCACCATGGCCAACTTTTGTCCCTCTGACACCACCTGAGTTTCACCACCAGGTTCTATTACAGCTTGCCATTAACAACAGCAG